CCCCAAAACCCCAAAACCCCATCAACTCTTCATAATGTTATAAAAGAGATATTTTGATCATAATTAATAATAATAACTTTTATTGAGTTTGACTTAATTAGTAGCAAATGGATATTAAACAGGCATAAGCGATCTTAATGCAGACTACGATTCCTAGAAAAAGGAATTATAACGAACGGCAGCAATCAGATTCAGAGGATGACATCGGAGACGAGAACACATATGAAGGAAGTTATAAGGGAGGCCCAAGGAAAAGAAGGTAGACTAACATGGACAGTTAGTATGATAACGAGGACTAAACTCAACAAAAATAAATGTAATAGAGTATCCAAGAAATGACTAAAAACGTAAGCAGAAATAATTCATGATGTTACTATAGTTGCCTATCGCTAAGCATAAGAACCAAATCATGAGAAAACTAGAAAAGAACAGAGTCTTAGTCATCTCAGGTGATACTGGATGTGGCAAGACTACCCAGGTGCCTAAGTATATACTTGAGTCTGCCGATTTTAAGAAGCAGGAGTGCAAGATCATCTGTACTTAGCCTCGAAGACTCGCTGCCGTCAATATTGCGAAGAGGTAAGTCATAAGTTACTCTTTTATACATGGATAGAGTTGCCTAAGAGTTGGGTGAAAGAGTGGGGCTAAGAGTAGGCTATCAAGTAGGTATGTAGAGTCGCAGGACTAAAGGACTGACCAAAATCATTTTCATGACAACAGGTATCTTCCTTTAAAGATTAGTCAACAATCCAGACTCAATAAAAAAGTGCACTCACATTATCATGGATGAGGGTAATATCTATAAGTAGTTAATTATAATACTTCATAGTACATGAAAGAGACCTTGACATAGACTTCTCGCTAGTCGTGATTAAGCACTTGCTATGCAAAGAAACTGAGGGCTTTGGCTTTAAGCTAATACTAATGTCAGCCACATTCAACATTGAGCTGTTTACCAACTACTTCTCTAAGAGTTCGATTAAGTCAATAGAAGAAATGAAAGTATATGTGGGTGTAGAAGAAATGATGCGGTAGCAAGAGGAGGAAAAAAAACAAAAGCTGGAGAGATAGTGGGGGCCATGCAAATAGGAAGACTGGAACAATCCCGCAAAGTATCTAGAAGCCTAAATGCAAGAAGATGAATGGGTAGAAGCCACCGAAATCCATAATAAAAATGTGATGCCAATTGAGAAGCAATAGGATCCAGCAGATGTGATTGAAATCAATGCAAGATTGTTCGAAGTAAAGGAGTTTTATCTGGACCAGTTGGTAGACAATATCCGCAAAGACGAATTAATCTAAAAATCAGCATAAGACAACGACCTGTTGCTCGAGTCACTCTCCATCAATGAATGCAACAAGCCTTAGATCAAGGAGTGCTCCATGAAAGTGGCCTCACTTTTAATATGCGATGTAATTGAGAGATTCAATAGATTCCAAGACGACGAGAATGACAAGAAGAGCATACTGGTGTTCTTGCCAGGTCTATTCGAGATATTTGAGTTCATTGATTTCATAAATGAGAACTATGACCCAATGTGGGTCAGAAATAATCTAGAGCTGATTCCTCTACATTCATCTTTGTGTGAGGAGGAGTAGGAAAAAGCTTTCAAGAGCAGTCAAAAGATGGACGGCAAGAGAAAGGTCATAATAGCCACCAATATAGCTGAAAGCTCAATTACTATACCAGATATCAAGTATGTGATAGACTTCATGCTCACAAAGGAACTGTTTTATGATCCAATGACAAAGAGTGAGTCACTAATTCTAAGTTGGGTATCTAAGGCCTCGTCAAAGTAAAGAGCAGGTAGGGCAGGCAGAGTGGCTGATGGTCTTGTGTTCAGACTATGCATGCAAAAATTCTATAATAATGCCATTCCTGAGTATCCTAAGCCAGAGATGCAAAGATGTCCTCTAGAAAAACTGATACTGTAAATAAAACTTTGGAATAGATATGAACCTGAGGAAGTATTGGGAAGAGCTATTCAACCTCCAGAGTTTAGAGACATATGCAATGCTATTAAAAACTTACAACAAACAGGAGCATTGACTATTCCACCACCATTTGCATAGACTGATGAGGATAAGAGAACTAAAATTACAGCACTTGGCAAGATATTTGTCAACTTACCTTGTGATCTCAAGATAACTAGACTATTCCTCTTTGGCATGGCATTAAAATGCATGTCACAGGCCATTATTATGGGTTGCTTACATCAACAGTCAAGATCTATTTTCAGAAGCAACAGAGTGCATGACCTTGTAAATATGACTAAGTTGTAGTGTATTTATGATAACAACAGGGACTCTGACTCTATGATGCTGCTGAGGGTATTCCAAGAGTGGATACATAAGTTTCATCCACACTTAAAGCATAAGTAAAATCCGACTAACCAGAACCCCACTAACCAAGTCATACCCTAAAGGCCAGTTTATGAGCACAGACGACTTAGATTCTCCAGACCAAGTCATTGTAAGTATAATTCTTTTATCATTTGTAAAGCTGAGAGATAATGGTGCAGAGATAGAAACTTAGATCTGAGTATTATGAAAGAGGTCGCCACGATGGTTGAAGAAGTAAGACAAAGATTTCAAAAGATGAATATTCCTGAAAAATGCCTCAACTCCAAAGTGTAATCAACATGAATCTTATAAATCATATAGAAAACTAAGAGATGATAATCCAGATGCAATCCTTATTATGAAACTTTGTATCGGAGGGGCTTTTTACAATAAATATGTAAAAGCAGCTTATAAAAACGAGGACACCTTAGCGAAGATGGCTTCTTCCTCTCTTTTTGTTGATGACGAAGCAAAGAGAGCCATAATATTGAATAAGGTATCTGAGCACATTCAAGACCATCACTTAAAGCAATACTTCGAGGGCAAATTCAAAGTGAATGTTGAGTCAGTCAAGATATCTATGGATAAACCGACTATTATCTTTGGACCTGAGATCCTAGAAAGAGGTTTCATTAAAGCATGCTTCAAATTAGGTTTAAGGACTAGAGTATGCATATATTCATAAATAATCTTATGCATAGGTATCAAGATATAGGAAACTCTAGGAGGAAGAATATGTGGACTAGACAAAATTCAAGTCAAGAATATTCGGTGAAGAAAAGGCTAAAGCCTAAGATGTGTTATATTCCTACCAAGAAATACAAGAGTAATTGGAGAATGAAGAATTAAGGAGGCCATTGTTTCTGTATGAGATAAGATTCGAAACTCTAAACAAGGATGCTTACGTGGAGTTTGAGAGAGATTCAATAAATAACTTTGCCTATGAATTGGATGAAAACAAGCTGATGCATGTTACGTATGCCTGCCAAGACTACTACGACAAGGGAGGTAGGTTTATGTGTCGTAACAGCACTCGATTACCTGATGTACCAATGGTCGATGCACTTTATTGCTTGCTATTTGCACCGATAGTTTAAGTGAAGGCAAACTCTAAGAAGCAATTCTTCGAAAAGATTATCTGTGATGAAGGAGAACTAATCATTAAGCTGACTCATATACTGACTCATCAAGACTTAGAGATAATCCAGAAGATAAGAAGCATGATGAATGAGACTCTCTGCAATGAAGACAATTTGAAGCAGGCTCATCTAGCATAGGTGGATTTCTTCATTAAAAGGCTGTTCTCTTTCAACAGAATATCAGTGGATGTATTTGAAAAACTAAATGGACTCAGGGAAGAAGATAAGAGGTTCTAACCAGTAGACTCAGTCAAAGATGCTCCTAAGAAAGATGATCTCGAAATGTTCATGGAAGGAGATGGAAATTTCTTTATGGAGGAGGAAACTAAAAATACTTAGAGTTTGTCAAAAGAGGGTGAAGGCTATGATGAAGTAGATAATTTCGAAGGGGAGGAACAGACTATTATTAGCAACTCTGATTTAAAAAATCGCCAGTAGCGATATGAGAAGGAATGCTCAATGGGTTACTTCCTATAGCCAATCTATGTTTAGAAGCTGAAGCAAAAGATCTACTTCTACGATGAGTTAGTTAGACAGATGGAGGAGGAGTTCAAGAAAAGAGTGGCTTAGAAGAGGAAGATAATAGAGAAGATCAGACAGAAGGCAAAAGAATTGGATCAGAAGGATGTCACTGTGATATGTGATAGATGCAAGCAGGACATAGCTCCACTTAAGACCTTTGACTACATCTCAGATGACCTTCATTATGCTAAGTGTGTGTTCGGAGCACTAAGAAGAGTTGAAATTCAAGAGGCATCACATTCATAATATGATGAGGACAGGGAATTCATTGACATCTTCCTAGAAATCTTTGAGAAGGAAAAGTTCAGCATTCCAGAGGAGTAGCTGTACATATCGACTCCCTAAAACAACAAGATCTATTACTTTGCCTTCAGTAAGTGCAGACAAAATCATATAGTTGGCATCGTTAAGAATCAGCGATTTTACATGACTGATATCTCACCCATTCAACTGCTGTTCCCTAATTCCAACTATCAAACCTGGGACTCTCGCTTCTGGTAAAAAGGCTACTCTGAGGCTATGAAGCACTTAAGCAGGACACTCTTATTAAGAGCTTAGAGCTGCCAAAAACTAGGATTTGAAAACAAAGATGGCCATAAAATTGCTGATATCTACTGTGAGTTATGTCATGTAATTCTTAAAGGGCCAGATGACTTTGTGGCGCATTGCAAGGGTAACAAGGAGCACAAAGATCTTGAGACTAAATTCCTATCATCTGACTACGATCAGCTACTTAGCGAGTAGGCTAAAAAGGGTGGAGTTATCAGTACTGCTAGTAACGCCAATCAACAATCAGTTAAATCTATACAGTGAAGCTTAATTCTAATCAAAGCAAATCAGAATCCTTCAAATTAAGAGAGATAAATTGGAATATTAAGTGATTGCATTTTATTATTAATTTCATAAGTTCTATGATTCAAGATATATCTTCATCGTGGGGTTTTGGGGTTTTGGGGTTTTGGGG